GCGAAGAAATATCTCCTAAAATAGATAGAAATAAAACAATGTTCTCATGATTAACAATGGCAACTACATCATGTTTCACATTTTAACTTTGCACGACTGTTTTTTTGTATTCTAAGTACTACTTAATATCTTTTCTTATGTTTCTTAGATACGTTCTTGAATCTTATAATCGTCTATCATGGCTATTAATTGATGCAAAAACAAATGAACGTGCCAGTTGTTTACCAATTCATATTGAAACATTATTAAGACTATATCATGCCTTTGTTAAATTTGTATGATATTAGATTTATTGTTGCACGTTTGTTGTTTAATGCAATGCTGTTATTATGGTTTTTTTTTCATCTTTCTTTTGTTTTTTGTTCTTTTTTCTGTGTCTTCTTTTTTTTTGTAGCCATATTGGCACGTCGGCGCAATCTTTATTTGTTTCTATTCTATAACAGTAACCTTGTTTCTTCGAATTTGTCTATCAGACAACGAAGAGAACCTATATATGTGTACGTGAACTAGACCACTCATATCTTTCTGTTTTGTGTATTTTGCGCTTAGTTTTTCTCGCAAAAACAAATACATTTATGTGCGTTGTTGTCTAACTTTAAAATAATCTGATCTGATACGTCTATATTACCTTGTACTTCTTTATATACAAGCAAAGAAAAAAAAAACAGATGACTCGCACTTGATTTCTCGTTCTTTGTACAGGTGTATATTTATTTTTAGTGTGAGCGTTTCTACGAAGCCTGTCTCTTGTTCTTTCTCTCTCTCTCTCTCTCTCGCTATATATACATATAACTATTTTCGTTTTTCTTGTCTTTTGCAATGTTCTTTGTTGGTTTGTTTCGTCTCGGATGGTGATCACACACAAAAGAAGCGATTTTTTTTTATATGAACTTTACTTCCGATGGTCTATCTTTCCTATAACGATTATTCCTATTAGACAAATGTATAAATTATCGTTAAAAAACACAATGAAATGGACTACCGATGTATACAATCGAACTAGACACATCTGTTTCTCTCATTCTCTTTTTTGTTGGTTTTTTTTCGTTTTTGTTTTCTGCGCGTGCGTAGTAAATCATGTAAACCCATACAAACATAAACTCACACTACAAATAAAAGAACGAATAGCAATTTATTGAATCGTAGAAAAACGATGATTGATTATTTCATCAATTTACTCTTAATTTTGGATAATATCTAAGAAAATGAGATGATAAGTAAAGTTTATGAATAGAATATACCTCAGAACAATCGTTTTCTATTGTCTTCTGTTTTTTAGTCAACAAGATTTTACATCTATGATACATATATATCATAATTAACGCAGATATTGTATTTATATATCTGCCCAAATGTAAAAAAATTGCTACATTCGAGAAATTTGAAAATAAAAAAGTGGGAAAATAATGCTAGAGTGATTAGAACAAAACTGCATGTTATAACACTATTGTTTTTGCTTTTATATGTGTTGAATACTTGTATAAAATACTTGATTGTATGTGCTGCTGTTGTCAAAAGTTACTTGAGAAGATGAAACAACAAAAGATAAATAGACTGTCTTTATCAATCGGACATTTCTTTGGTTATGGAATCTAGTTTCTTCTTCTTCTTCTCCTCATCTAATAATCCGTCTGTGAGTTGTTCCATAAAAGCGTCAGACTTCCTGAATATTTTCTCAGTATTGTATACATGATTGAGGTTAGCCATAACTGTAACTACATTTAAGTATAATATTCACTTTTGTGCTGATTGTTGAATATCGTTCAGACGAAATTTTACATTGTTATCCTGCACCTATTGTGCCAAAATAGCCTATGTCAACTCCACTGGGTTGTGTAAAGAGTGTTTGACGTGCAAACTATAAATATTTGTCTCAAGACTAAAGGAAGATGTAAGAAAAACGGCTTATCACAAAATGTAAACATTATGTTGTTTCGCTGCTTCATCGATTTCATATCGTATTTTGGCAACAATAATATTGTGACGATTGAACTATTGAATAATAGATTCTATGCGCCGTGACCGTTTTGCTGATATTGGATCATTGGTAAGTCGATTATGTCATGGGAAATCGACAATCACTAGAACAATTTTTGCATATTTTCTTAAGCTCTAACATAAGTATTGAAATCATAAATAAGAATATTGCCAAGTTCTTTTCCGAACAGAGAAACAGTATGAGCAGTCCGTGTCAAAAGATGTGTTGAATTCATGTAGTGATCCTCATTATATTCAAATATATTAATCAATGATGTATGAAAATCTGAGTTTCTCATCAACACAGAAATAGCAAGTCATTGATCTGTAACGAAAGAAGTCAGAGATCATTTCATGAAAAGAGATATCATACATTTGCTACTAGTCTGTTTTAAATGACCGATACCTGTGTCTCTGTCAGTCCATACAAAGGTTCTTTCTTCATTTTGATTACAACACGTCTCATTTTGCCAAAAGATAAGCGTTCCATTGATTTCTAAATTCATCAAATGTGACAAAATAACGTGCACAGACTGCCATGTAGAAAGGAGAATCAAATGTCACAAAAAATTTCGACGTTCTTTTGTAAGCAATGTCTAACTTCTTCATTCAACGCCATAGTGATCACGTTTACCGAATTGGAAAATCAGGATCACCACTGGAAATTTTATTTAAAAACCTTTTTTTTGTGGTTGGATAGGCCATTCAGCTAACATTAGATGCGCATGGTACGTACAAACAATGTACTTGTGCTGCAAAGTCTATGTTAGGAAAGTACTTACCGAGCATCTTCATCTTCATCTTCTGTCAAAGTGAACATGACCACGTTTTCGTAATGATTTAGCAACAGGCATGAATATTGTAGTAGTGATAGTTGATGGAACAGAAGTTAAGGCTAATGATGAGTTGGCACGTTGACTTCGAAGTCGAAGGTAGTTCAAATAGTTTCATCTTCTTTTCCATGTCCTCATTACTTCTTTAGCTCAAGTACTTCTGTTTTTTTTTTTCAAAATCAATTTTTTCTGCTCTCTTATTTCTCTTTTTAGTCTTTCAAATAGTCTTATTAAAATACTAAGAATAGATTCGGTATGATCATATACGTTGTTCAATAGAATTAAACAGCCACTCTTTTCACGCTCAATAAACTTGATCACATTGAACATTTTTTACTGTGTGTCTTATGAGAAACTAAGTTACGAAATAGAAATGTGCATCTACATATTCAGTTCGGTGAGAAACATTTTATTATATTCTCTCCATAAGTACTTTCATCTCTATGTTAAGCATAACTTTTTTTAGGCACTACGTGACAAGTGAAGACTACATAGAAAAGAAAATTTTTTCACTACTCCATTGTTAAAATAGATGCGTCTCTAACATAGTCCAACATGTTAAGAAGACATTCAACATATAGGAGTATGTTATGCCATCATAGCTTAGAAATAGAATAATCGAAATGATATGCAATATTATTACGATAAAGAAAGATATTGTTATAAAATAAACAGCTTCGTCCGATTCAGAATGGTCAAAAGAATAATATTTTGTTCACAGATATCAAATTGCTAAAACCTGAAAAAATATACGGAAAAGTTTTTTTTGAGTGTTTGTGATCATCAATTTTTAGCGTATGACTTTTGAACAAAGCGAAGTAAAAATGTCTGGTTTGGTTAGAATTGTAGATCTTTTGTAGGCAAATCTAATGTACGCCTCATAAATCAAATCTGATACGTTTTTCAAAGAGTTTTTATGCTTCTCTGAATTTTGTTCACTGCTCATCAATCTTGTAAGTTGGCTTTATTTACTCTTATATAGACAGATGTAGGATGTCACCCGCTTTCTAATCGTAAGAACAACAGGTAGATAGATGTTTCTCTTGTGGAGTTATTCGAAAAACAACCACTTTCTTTTATTTTGAAATGGATAAGAGGATAGATTTACGAAAAACACCCTATACGCATTTCAATGAGTGCTATTCGAGGCGCTACCCTCGAAAGACTTTTAGATTTACAATCGATTTAGCATCTTGATTTTGCTCAGTTTTCAATGCTGAATTCGGAATCATCTGCTCAGGTGCTGGCAAGAAGGATGAAATTGGAAACTTTGAAAATTTTGGAAATGGTATGTGCTTCGAGAAAAACGACATCTACTAATTTTTTGATTTTTTTTTACTTGAAAAGAGCGTTCATAAATACTAAAAACTAGTTTTTCGATATCAATAGTACACGCTCTATCAAGCCATGAGAGAAAAACAATGAAAAAAGTTTTATTTCAAGTTTGCCTTATCGACTCCTTACAAAAAACAGGAAAAAGAATGGTGTCAACATTATATAATCTGACGTTCGACTGCAGGCGATATAAGTACATCAGTCGCAGAAGGAAGAAGTATTGTATAAAAAGTATATAAAACGTCATTCATATGGGTTGATTCTAAATGACAAAAATCATTTATTTGTCATCGTTTGTCATTGAATTCAATGTATTGAACTACAATATAGGCCACAACGATGAAAAACAAATTTGAACAGCTTTTCGCTGCAATTATAACATCTCTACTATTGACGAATGCTCTTCATAAAATCATTCTTCTTCTTGCACAAGAAACTCCAGAATCATTTATCAGCAGTTGTTCTTCAAACATTTTAATTATCATTAGCTTTCGAACAATAAGCATGGCAAGCGCTTAGTAAAGATTTTTATGAATGCATCAATGAACCGATTTATTCTGAATTCTTTCATGTTTTGGCATTATTCAAGAGAACATTAATTTGTTAACTATGATATAGAAACTGACACATAAGCAATTCTTCTTATTCCTGACGCTATTCATCCCATAAATGATATCTTTAAACTGATTGCACTATCATCAAGATATTTCAACAGAAGTAAAGTGATTCGACACGCAGAAGACGACACAATCAGACTCATCTTAAAATATATCTTAAATATTAGCTTATTTTATTTATATCAAAATTTTGTTTCACGAACGTTCGCATAAAATCTATTGGTTTATATATGCAGAATCATTGGATACGAAATCGTTGGATTCTATGATTACCATAGTCCGAAACATAAAGATATGTTTCACTTGGATCAAGAGCCACATCAGCTGGTTGATTCATAAGTTGAGTGGTACTGCCTGCTACACCACTCGCACTGCCGGCAACAACAGATCCTTGAGTGGCACCAATTGTCCACTTCATAACTCGGTTGTTGCCATAATCAGCAACATAAAGAGTTTTACTATCACGTGTAACCCAAATACCTCCAGGTCCATTTAGTTGGTTCAAGCCTGTCCCTGCAATAGAGTTACCTGCTACTGTAGTTCCTGTTCCGTTACCGCCAATGATAAACATTTGGATACGATTGTTGATAAAATCACTAACGTAGAGCGCATTTCGATTTTCGTCTAAATGTATGAAACGGAGACGACCTAGTTTATTACTAGTCGAACCCTGAACTCCTGGTACCCCAGCAACAAGTGTACCACTCGTAGCATTCACTGCCCATTTAACCACCATGTAACAATAATACAGTGATATATAGATATTGCCAGATGAATCAACTGCTATGCCATAAGCAGTATAGAGTCCTGTAAAAAGACAAGCACTTGTCGATAGACCCGAAGCTGGAAAACTTATCAGGTTTATTCCAGCTCGTTGAATGTACACGACACCATTGCCAGATGTCCCATCGGCCATATAGATGGTACCAGAACTGTCAGCGAAAATACCTAACGGTTGTAGAACTCCACTGGAGAGAATTATACGTCCGGTGCGCGAGAATGTTGAATAAGCTTGAAATCTATTGAGATCCCAGTCACCAACATATAAAACTCCGCTGAGTGGAGAAACGTAAATTCCCCAAGGACCTTTTAATGCTGTTGAACCGTTACCGATAGTGCCATTACAAAAGCCGGCCACTGTTTGACCGATGCCTATAGCTGGTGCTGCAACAATGAAGAAAGATATCTTATACTGTCTGATGTTGCATTCATGCATCAAAGCAATTAACAGTAGTACATTAATTCTATGTGGATGCTGAAAACTAATAGTGCCCTCAATATTTGACCCCTCATTTTTGAATATTACTGTGTTATTTTACAAAAAGTATATTGCACGTAGTGTTATCGGTCTAATAGAGAACAATCTAATTGTTTATAGCCTTGATTTTAATTCGTCACAACCAGAAATGGATGTCATAGTCGTAATTGTTATTCAAGTGACCGTATATCCAACATTTCAAAAAGATCACATCAATCTATCCATATTAATCTATCATCAAATTATGTTCAACAATGCAGAAAGTTTCTACTCCAATCTATTAAACATCAGTATCGCTAGCAGGAACATTTGATGAAATAAATGAATTAGACCTCTGAACTAACCTTTACATGCCATTTTTATTCCATCACATAATCTGTTAGTTTAAGTTGTGCAAAGATGTAATGGAATAACATATGATGTTCCTTGGCTAAGCATTTACAGTAACTTCTATACGTCTTTCTAGAATTCTATTTCATTACCATCTCCTCTTTTGCCTTTTCTTCTTCTCTCTCTATCAAGCTATCACCATAAACGCAAGACTCAAGTGACTTACGGGCTGAACATCGATAGGTGAAGTCACAATTTGGTTGACATGTAAGATTGAGGTCTGATCTACAGGAATTCGCCATCGAACAAACTTGGTTCCGAAGTAGTTGTGCCAGACACATTGAACCATTCCAGAACGTCTTCAAAGGACATTGACAAGTAGCAGTATTCGAATCACATGTCATGTATCGACTTTGAGCACATTTATCACATGATTGATTGTAGATGTTGACATAAATGCTGGGTGAAAGTCGGATAGTGCCAACCAATGACTGGGGCTTCGAAGGCGAAGCAACAATAGAACCTGTGGTCATGTCAGCATCCCACAAGCGACACTGTTGCGAATGGCTATCAAAGTCGAATGTTCGGCAATCTACACGTTTATTACACTCAAGATTACAATATAACTGCTTTTTGATCGTAAATGTTAGTAGAGGAGCAAGGAAACTATCAGCAGGAACGAATTCCTGGCCCAAATCACTAATATCAGATACAGACCGATCTTCTATAGTTGACTGGAAGAAACAAAATAACACGGCAGCAAGAAACAGAAGCATTTGTGAAGCAAACTTCGCCATCGCACGTTCAGAAATGAGTAAAGAGAAATTATTACAATTTATGACAGAAACGCTCTATTTTAATAACGAAGGATAAAAAAAAACATTTTATACGAGTTTTTTTCTCACATCAAATTGACATCACACATATTTTTCATGGAGACGGCTTGCATTCCTTTTCGGTCACAGTTATAGAGTGCTTTCATTTTAGCAGAGAATCATCCTCTATTGTAACAGAGTTTGCAATCTAAAATTGCATGACCTAATTATTTTGTTTTTACAGGTATTAAAATGTCGAGGCGTTCGAAAAAGACTTCATTAGATTGACTGTAGGACATTTAACAAAACAGTATGACTTGACATAAAAATAACCAACTGTGAGAATATTGTTCCCAATATCTACATAGCAGATACAGATTGATGTCGCGTAAACATACGTAAATGGAAGGTTATACACAAAGCCCTAACAGTACTAAATTACAAGTATAAATGAAAAAAAAACGAGATTGCTTATATAAGAAATAATGCGCCAAGTACTAGATAATATATGTCCATAAAAAGAGATTATTCTGGCTCCGTGATCTTATATGTAAGCACTAGAATTACTCAAACAGCATATGAACTGTATTCTAGTGCCGTTTCTAAATAATCGGTTTTGTTTCAATAGTTTCATGCCATCAGACTTTAGTAGGCCGTATTCAAAAAAAGTCTGATGGTTTTTCAACTAATGCTAATCAGACTAAAATCATTACAGCAAATAGAAACGGAACAATATGTATTCTCACTGAAAGCAACAAACAAATACAAGTGCATGGCTGGCGTCTAGAATATTTGCTTGTCTATTCCTCATGCACTACATCGTATAAAACAGTCTCAACAAAAGGAATATCTCCTTCTTTGAAAATTTTTCCATTGTATACGCCAAAGTATGTCTACAGCACTTCGATTACATTGAAAAATATCATTAACACATCCATTGTGCCTTTATTTTTGTCAGAAAAGACAAAAAGAGCTAATTTTCACACTCATAATATTTAGCAAAAAGTGAAGAAAAAGTTATTAACACTAAAATACAAGATGAAGTCTATCATACTTCTTCAATTGAAAGAAAATGAGAAAAAAACTAATTTTTTTCCCCATTAATGATAGGAAGCAATATAGTTGTAAACAAAGTGTTTTACAAGAGAATTAGTAAAAATAATGATGTGTTTTGACATATTTGACAAATAATAAAAAGAAAAATTTTAATAGAATATGCATAAGCTTGGTTGCTGCAACATTGATGTTCAATAGATATTTTTGATTCTATTCTATCATGTAAATATCGGCTAATATCGTGTTAAACGGTGACCCTATAATTTCATGTCATCTGTCATCAATACTAGTTTTTCATGAACAAAACATTTTGTTTTATTTAACGATCGTATTATGTTAAATAGGCAACAAAAATTTAAACCTTATTGTCTAGGTTGCTATTTGAGTTTGTAGGAAGCTTTGAAAATTATTTGAAATATGATTAATATGCTTTACAACACGGGCTGAGACACCCGTAAAAAAGGCCTTTGTTGATCAAAACTTGGTTTTTTAATTTAATATAAATTTTGTTTCGGCTGGCAAACGTTTAAATATTCTTCTTGTGTCGCTTTTTCCGAACTAGACATTTTGGTTTAGAGAATTGAAAATTATACAGGTTGACACAGAATTGTGTGCTCTACATTATGGCAAAAACATTTTGTATGACATTGTTTTATTTTGACTTTGAAATTTGAATATTATCGATATCGAACATAAATTTTGAGAAAAACTTTATTTTTGTATAATTCATGAATCGTTCCAACTCTATTGTGCAGTTACCAATATATAGTTAGAAAGAGCTCAAGACTATGATTAAAAGAGCAATCTCAGAATCCCTAAAGCACAATCTTAAAGTGGCATTTTAGACGAATTAAAATCTTTTTACAATGCACGGAATATTCTTTTTTTTGCACAAAAAATCAAAAAAAGAAAGTGAGTGTGGACGTGAGTGAAGATGACAAATTTAAATATACTCAGACTCTCACCTACACCCTAAAATACCATTAAAAAGTCTGTCTTGACTTTTTTCTGTACTATGTTACTAAAATATCTATCAGTCGCATTTTATACCCTAACAACTAGTGGCTGTAATATTTCTACTGATGACAGAGTGCATCAAGTTCTATCGTGTAGGACATCTAAAAAAATACCTTTCCCTCTCCAATGAGAAAAATGAATCACTTTTAATTGAAAGTCACCTTTTTCTATCATTCATAAGATATGTATGAAGATGCTGATCTATTTTCCATCGACTATACTTTCTCAATAGTTAATATTTTCTTATTTAGATATTTTTTTGTGCTTTGTATGATGATATAAAATTAGTAAAACAAACCTTCTGTATAATCAATTTAAAAACAAGACGATACTTTAAGAGAAGGATCACTTTCATACAAAAAAGCATAAATGGTGGACATTACTAGAGTTTGACGGTGGAAAATTGACTTTCATAGAAAAGCAACTTGATATTTAAAATCAGCATACTAAACTACATCAGAAAATATACTGTCCATCTTGAAATGTCTCTTTTATGAGAAGTATTTTATGATGAAACATACGTTGCCTAGTGTACTTTTTCATGCGAATTCCAAATATTAGGTTTGTTTTCGATGACAGTCAATACTCCACAATAACAACCTGGTAATATTCTGTGTTTATGCCATTTTGTATAGCAGTGACCCTTCTCTAAATATGTCGTCTTTTGTAGAACTCACGTATGTTCTCGAAGAAAATGGTGAGTGTAAGATTGATGTCGCAGTTTTCCAGCCCTCTTCCTTCTTCATTACAGACAGCCGCCATTATAGTAGTGTCCTGCAAGCGGATTGGAGAACCGACAACCCACTCGATCCGGAGCATGGGTGTGGATGCCAACTATACTGGTCAGGTCGATTACCGGGTATGAAAAACATCGTCCATTTGGATTCTGATCTGAGATTATACCCGGACTTGATCCACAACTAATCAAATCTTGACATTTTAAAACATTTTGACTTTTCAAACTGCTCTTAATATAAAAGTATAGAATTGAAAGCCGGTCCGATCATGATTGAATAATAGATTGAACCTAAGAACAGATCAAACGAATGGGAAACAATATTGAATTTACTAACAGAATTCGTTTTCGTTGAAAATTCATCCACACAACTGAGACACCATTAATGGCGAAACCATTGGAGGAGCTAGGGGGTGCTGAACTCCCCTAGAAAAGTTTAAATCCGTTAAGGCTGTTAGACTTTACACGACAGATACAGGGCTCAGCTCCATCTAAACTGAAATTCGGTTTCGTCACTAGCAATCATGTGACCCAATAATTGAATATATTGAGAGAAAAATGAGCGTTCAGAAAGGTGACCATGTATTTTCATCTTGGAAAAAACATTCACCTATGTATCAATAAGCATGGCGTTTGACGTCAATATCAAGTTCCATTTCAGCTTCATCACCAACAAGTAAATAAATACTTGGCGACATTGAACGAATATTACAAGTAGAAAGATATCAAATAGTTTCTGATTGACTCATCTTTTGTATTGAATCTGAGATGACACCTCTTTTTTGTTGGTATTAATAGGAGAAACCAAACAGTATTCTTGTTGATATAAAGTAAAAGTTTAAGGGCTGTACTACGACTGAAAATATGTTCTGTACAAACGACAAAATTACGACTGCCGTAGTACATTCCAAAGCTTTTCGTGAAATTTGAACAGCTAAATAATGTTTACCAATGTACTTAACAGTGCAGTTGTTGATTTTTGTACAGATAGAAATTTCTATGTG